CTGAAAACAATAACTGCAGCCGCAAGAAATAACCCAGTGCCATCCAGAATTACCAATCCTTAGCATTTCAAATGAGAATACCGAAAACCAACATAGCTCAAGAAAATAGAATCACATAATTTGTTGCGGCGCGCAACCCGATCCCACCGTACAACACAGAATCATCTCTTATTTTACCATAATAATGTCAACAACAGATATATATTACCATAATAACGTCAATATATATATATATATATATATATATATATATATATATATATATATATATATATATATATATATATATATATATATATATATATATTGCGGCGTGCAACCCCATCCCACCATATATCAATATCAGTACCATGATTCACCCTTATTTCACCATATCAATCAACTCTTATTCCACCTGTTGCAGCATGCAACCCGATCCCACCATACAGTACAAATTCACCTTTATTCCACCATATCAATCCACCCTTATTCCACATGTTGTGGCGTGCAACCCGATCCCACCGTACAATACAAATTCACCCTTATTCCACCATATCAATCCACCCTTATTTAACCTGTTGCGGCGTGCAACCCGATCCCACCATATCAGTACCAAATACTCAATGTGCACAGTCAGATTAACAATTCAAATCACGAAAACCTTTACGATCAATAAATACCAAACTGAACCAAAAAGGAAAACTTGTACAACATAGGAATCTACATAAGTAATACTACAAAACGAGACCAGTCCATAATTGACAATTAGAGGTACAAGTAAGTCAATTTAAGCAAATAGCAGGGAATCATGAAACTATGAAGAGATCTAACATCATTAATAGGGAGGACATTGATTAACATATAGCAAATAAGCATGAAAAGCATTTAGGGCACATAACACTTAAGACAGGGAAGGAGATAATGAAAGAACAGTGGAAAATGAGGGAAAACAAGTAATTCAGCAGTGTATAAGCACACGTCACCTCGCATATACGCCACTCACATGAAATTCACATAACACATAGTCCGAGGGTTCCTAATTCCCTCAAGTCAAGGTTAGAAACAACAGTTACCTCGCTCCAAGGACCACTCAAAGCTCAACCACAGCTTTGCCTTTCAAACAAGCCTCCGAACCAACAATATCTAGCAAATTATAAACCAAACAATTAAAAATAGCCTTAGGAATCACCCACGATTGCAAAAGATTCAATTTAGATCATTGTTAAAAAAAGTCGACAAAAGTTAACTCCTGGGCCCGCTTGGTCCAAACCCAAAATTTAGACCAAAATCCGATTATCCATTCACCCCCCGAGCCCGGTTATGTAATTTGTTTTGGAATCCGACCTCAAATTGAGGTCTAAATCCCAATTTTACAAAAATCCCTATTTCTACCCAAACCTCCAATTTCCACCATGAAAATACTAGATTTTAGGTTGAAATCTTAGGAGATGTAATGAAATATTGAAAAAAATGAATTAGAATCACTTACCAATGGTTTTGGGAAGAAGGGTGCTTCGGAAAATCGCCTCTAGGGTTTTCTTGTTTTGAAAAATTGAAGAATAAACAAAAATTCCGTCTAACTCAAGTTTTACATAGTTACAGATGTCGCAATTGCGAGAAAAAGGTCGCAATTGCGAACTCCTTCCAAAATCCCAGTGATCCCATTTGCGATAAAGTGGTCGCAAATGCGAACCATGATGCCCTCGCAAATGCGGACCATTATTCGCAAATGTAAATATCATCGCAACAGTGCTGAGTCGCAAATGCGACTCTGCCTTCGCAAAAGCGGAATTAACAAGTTCGCAAATGTGAACTTTTACCTTGTAAATGCGAGTACCCCCTTCCATGCCCAGGCTCGCAAATGCGAGATCTGCAGCAGACACCAGAAACTAAAATGCATCAGCTATGTTTTCTAAGTCCAATTCACTCCGTAGCCTATCCGAAACTCACCCGAGCCCTCGGGGCTCCAAACCAAACATGCAAACTAGTCCAATAACATCATACGAACTTGCTCGCGCAATCAAATCGCCGAAATAACACCTAGAACTACGAATTGAATGCCAAATCAAATGAATTTTTCAAGAAAACTTTGAAACTTCTATTTTTACTACCGGACGTCCGAATCATATCAAACCAACTCTGTTTCTCACCAAATTTGACAGACAAGTCATAACTATAATAATGGACCTATACCAGGTTCCTGAACCAAAATACAGACCCGATATCAATAAAGTCAAATATTGGTCAAACTTTCAAAGTCATTAAGCTTTTAAACTTTCAAATTCCCACAAAATGCGATAGCTCGAGCTAGGGACCTCCGAATTCGATTCCGAGCATATGCCCAAGTTCCAAATCATGATACGGACCCACCGAGACCGTCGAAACACGGATCCAGGTCCGTTTGCTTAAAATATTGACCGAAGTCAACTCAAATTGATTTCAAAGCAAAAATTCTTACTTTTATCAATTTTTAACATAAAAGCTTTCCGGAATAATGCCCCGACTGTGCACACAAATCGATGAAGGATAAAATGAGGTATTTAAGGCTTCAAAATACAGAATTTGGTTCTAAAACATAAAATGACCTATCGGGTCATCACAGTTATCCCTATAAAGAAGGAGGCGTCCAATTCAGAAGTTTGAAAGATATAAATGACTCCTTCACAGCCAAAGCATGGTGAAATCTATGAATTAGGGACTGTTTGTGGAAAGATTTTATGATAGCTAAATACTGCAAAAGGACACACCCTGTAGTTTCTCAATAGAGATCAGGGCAATCACACAGTTGGAAGGCTTTGTGTGCAATCACACAGGGCAATCAACATTGAATGGTTACCTAGAGGAGGGAATATCTCTTTTTGGTATTATAATTGGTCAAAACAAGGTCCTTTGTACAAACTCTTGCCATCAGGAATGAAACCTAAATATGTCCAATTAAAAGATGTCACAGAAGGAGGCAATTGGAAGTATGATGCAATAATTGAAGGCATACCAAACTCAGTCAAGAATATAGTGGACCAACACAAAATCAGGCTTTACCCAGACCTGCCAGATAGAGTGATATGGACAGCAAGCTCAACTGGGAGCTTCTCAGTCTTCTCTGCATGGAAAAGCCTCAGACAAAGGAAAACTCAAGGAATAGTGAACAATGGAATATGGAACAAGCATGTGCCTTTTAAAATGGCCTTCATGATCCGGAGGGCCTTAAATGATAGAGCTCCAACAGATGAGAAGGTAGCAAGATTTGGTTAAAACATCCAAGCTAGATGTTACTGTTGTCAACCTCCATCAAATGGAATAGAGACAGTGGACCACCTATTCTATTCTGGACCACCTATTCTATTCAGGGAATTTGGCTCAAGAAATTTGGACAAGGTTTGCAGGTCCTTTGGGTATAAAAGTAACGGATGGGCATCTGGGTCTACTAGTAGCCAAATGGTGGAATCATAGAACCTTAAATATAGTGGCAGCTTTCATGATTATGGTCCTACCAACCTTGATAATATGTGAATTATGGAGAGTGAGATGTGTGTGCAGATATGGAAATGAAATTCCCTCGGCTTATAGATCAGAGAGTTTAATATTTTACACTCTCCATGAAGTGATCAAACAAAAATTTGGAAGGATAAAGCTGCAATCCTCTTGAGTCCAGCTGCAAAAAGTGATTGATCAACCTATTAACAGCAGGGCATACAGATTGATTAGATGGCAAAAACCTCCGGCATTGGCTATCAAACTTAACAGTGATGGTAGTTGCATTGATGGTAACTTTGGGATCAGAGGAGTAACTAGAGATAACAATGGAAATTCATACTAGCTTACTCTATATACGTTGGACCAGGCACTAGCAACTTGGCAGAAAGTAAGGCTACTCTCTATGGACTGCAACAATGCTGGCGAAGGGGGTTACACGCCATCGTAGCAAAGGCGGACTCGAAACTGATAACCTCATGCGTGAATGAGGGAGCAGCAACACCATGCAGAATTATACAAATTGTAGAAGAAATCAAGAGAATTGTCATTGAATGGAATATAACAGTGCAACATTGCTACAGGGAAGCTAATAGAATTGTGGACAAATTGGCTACAATGAGTCACACACATCGACAACAACTTATTTTCACCAGGTATGAGGATCTACCAAAGCAGGTTAGGGGACATATGCAACTGGACAAGTGGGAACTTGCTTCATTCAGGGTTAGACAAATGAAGCCAGCTAAAATTAATTATGAACCTCCATAATCAAGATTCAGCAGCACGCAGGCTGTCTTACTATTTTAGTTTCATATTTACGCAAACTAGAAATAGTCATGGTAATAGAATAATAGAGTTTAGGCTTATAAACTCTCAGAGGAGAAGCCCAGATGCTCCGATAAGGAGGTGTGAGCGGCTGGTTGTGGAGGGCACGAGAAGAGGTAGATGGCGGGTTAAGAAGTATTGGGGAGAGGTGATCAGGCAGGATATGGCGAGGCTTCAGATTTTCAAGGACATGGCACTTGATAGGAAGATGTGGAGGTCGAGTATTAGGGTTGTAGGTTAGGAGGTAGTAGAGTCTTACCTTACTTCGTACCTTTGTTAGACTAGTCTGGTAGGGTTTTTGTCTAAGATAGCTAGTAGCAATGTGTCTTATTATTTTGCTTTTCAGTGTAGGACCTATTTACTAGCTATCGCTTTTGCTTTGCATCTTTCTTCTTAATTTCATGTTGTCCCTATTTTTCCTATGATTTCTGTGGTGATATTAACATTGTCTCTTTTTGTCTTTTTATTTTCTTGAGCCGAGGGTCTTTCGGAAACAGCCTCTCTACTCCTTCGGGGTAGGGGTAAGGTCTGTGTACACACTACCCTCCCCCAGATCCCACTAGTGAGATTTTACTGGATTGTTGCTGCTTATAAACTCTCATGATGTGCTAACAGGGTAAGGTAATAACCACCCCCCCCCCCCCCCCCCGTGTACTCTTTTCTGGGAAGGAAATAAGATAGAAGCTGCAAATTAAAAAAAAAAAGTACTGCAATTTTTAAAGATTTTAAATTTTAAACATATCATAAAAATCCACTGTTATCTCCAAAATAGGTACATGTATTTCTTCTTGCCCATCAAATGAATTCATGATCCCCTGTCATTTCCAAAATACAACAATATGATTCTTGAAGTCCATCAAATGAACATGCACATATACTAGTTATAAACTAACATTAACTTGTAGAATAACTACTGCTCACAATAGCCACATCTTGACTTGCCTTCCATAACCATGTATCAGTCAGAGGTTGGATTTTTTGTCTCAAGAAATTTTTCTCGGCATCCATGGGAATACGGTTTCCTGTTTCAGAAAAGAAGTTTTATGCTGTGGTATTTATTAGTCACTAGGAGCATAAACTAACAGAATCGCTCAATAATTAAGGGAGAAACAGAAAAGAATTGAATCTATATGCACTTGTAGTGAAAAGATTTTTCATTGAATCCGTAGAGTTTAACTTATTATAATAGATACATACTAATTTTATCGTTACCTATTAAAGCGTATCAGAAAGATATATATAATTACATAATTAATTGATCTGATTATTTAAATATATATTTTGACATCGTCGGTGTATAGAGCTTATTAAGCTCAACAGAAAAAATGCCCTCAGTCAAATATGATAGCCACTGAAAATGTATAAATTTTCATACAAAATTTTAAGAGATTTAATCATATTTAAATATTGAAGACATCAGATATTGACGCACCCACATAGTTTTTGTTTACACACAACTTAAGTGCGAAGTCATTAATTAGTGACGTCAAAGATGTAATGCAATAGTGCTCCTCTTCCATTGGTTAAATTCGCCAAGGCTGAAATTTGGATTTCTCCAAATAATATTAAGTTGTTCATTGCCAGAAAATCCAATAATGGATGCCATATAGTTAGTCAATTAAGAGCAGAAAAATCTAGTCGTTTAACTACCACCAAATGCTTAAATAGTACTGATGCATTATCGTTCAAATGTCTAAACATCAATAATAAAAATTTATAATGTGAAGAACGTACCCAATATCTGGTGATCGATTCAAACACATTGCATATTTGAACAGGAGCACAGTAATGAGTAAGAAACGCAACTAAAAGCTTTAGTACCATCAATCGATCCAAATGAAGTACCTCCTTTGACATGCTTTTCCACATCTCAATAGCTTTTCCATCCACTTCAAGTTCATTATCATCCATCATGTTCTTCACAATATAAAACCGAACAATATAATGACAAATTAAACAATTTGGCTTATATGTCAAGAATGTAAACAGACATATATCCTTGCTGGACAGAGCTGTCCTATTGGGAGACAACATGTAATTTACGGAGGTAATTGAGAGTTGGTCGGAAAACCATAGTTAAAAAAAAAATAGAGTTGAGAATTGAATGACTGACGGAGACATACGAGTGAACAGCTTACATGAAATCCAAAAAGCCGATAGATCTGGGTTGGTCTTCACGCCTCAGTACTTTAACACTTGTTTTCCTCCAATGGTAATTCTATTTCGTTAGTACAAAATCTGTCAATTAATACATGTCAGTCAAAGCGACTGCCACGGAAATGCCACAAGTTTCACTGCTATAGAGACATATAAGTAGAGATACATTATGAGCAATCAACTAATTAATCATCATTTGATTTCCGACACTCAAAGATATACCCTAATATGCGAAGTGAAAGAAAAGTAAGAACCATTTTTGGAAAGCACTCCTGTTAGGACCACTACGCTTAATGTGGACTGGAGGAAACCTTTCCCTTGTTCTAGCTTGCTACATTGGTTGCCGGTTCGACCGAACCTAATAGCTTTTATTCAATATGTTGTATTTGTATTAAAAAATTCAATAAATATGTACACATTATTAATTTTGAACCCAGTAACTTAGAAGAATTATAATTCCAAACCCATAAGTTCAAATCCTAACTCCGCTTCTATACACTATTGAAATGGAAAGCTACTATGTTACATAGGCGGATGCAGACTTATGAGTTCCTACCGTAATTTCAAATTAATATGCAATAATAACTGGGTTCACAGTCAGATGTTCACCAATATTTAATGAATTTCTTAATATAAATACAGGGTCTACGCAAGAGTTACTGGGTTTCCGAAAACCCGTAGTCTATGCACTAGGTCCGCCCCTGACTATGCATGATCATTACTTGGTATTTTATTGGAGATAGGTAGACCTACTGTTTCAACTAACACGCGGGGCTGGACGGGAATTTGTCTTTCTTTTTCATCATATGTTCAAAAACTCACTAACTAATTAATTCAAATTCACATTGCTTAGTGACCGATTAATTCGAAATTTGCACTTGTAATAAGGCCTACAAAAGAATTTTTTATTTTTAATAATTACACACAAAATCTCTAATTAAATATGAGACTCTCATCTATCCGGCCACACTCCTTGCTTGTTGATGGGACTAGTTTAAGCTCTCATAATTGAAGTGGACCGCCTTTCAGGAAAGGGTAAAGATTACCTCCAATGACTCAAAAGTTGAGGGATGTACGAACCTCTAATAAGCTGCCATTTAAAAGTGAAGTTGCATGATCCTAAACTACACATGGCTTTGTCTGGTTGGGTTGGACGCAAAAAACTACTCCCTCTATGTCAATTTCGATGACACACTTTTCTTATTAGTTCGTTCAAAAAATAATGACACATTTTTAAAATTGAAAACAATTCAACTTTAAACTCTTCACACTACTAGAATTCCTGCATAAAGCGACCAAAATTTAACGACCAAAGTTGGTTTGCCAAGAAAAGCGACCAAAGTTGGTCGCTAAACTGGTAAAAATAATAAAATAATGATTTTAAATAAATTAGCGACCAACGTTGGTCGCAACTTGGTCAAAAATTTTGTCAAACTGTTGACCGGACTGGTCAGACTTGCTTCGTCAAAGAATTACTCAGATTAGCGACCAATGTTGGTCGCTTCATGGGACCCACTTATTAAATTTTAATAATTATAACATTATTTTTAAAAAATAACAAAATATAAATAAATAAAATTTAAAATTAGCGACCAAGGTTGGTCGCTATATAAAGAGAAAACAGGTTGAGACCAACTTTGGTCGCTAATTTGGGACACAGTCATAAAATTTTAATAATTATAATTTTGTTTAAAAAAAAAGTATAAAATATAAATAAACATAATTCAACTTTAGGGACCAATGTTGGTCGCTCAGTAGAGTATAGACCAAATTTGGTCGCTAAGCTGGGTCCCGATTAATATTATAAATATAATAAAAAAGATAAATAAATCTGATTTAAGTTTAGCGTCCAACTTGGTCGCTAATTTAAAATTATGTATGTTTAGCGACCAAAGTTGGTCACTATTTAGGTCAACAAAGGTCAAAATTAAAAATCACTTTTGTATTTAGTAAATAAAGAATATAAATGTTAGCCATTAACACTTTTGTAATACAAGGGATGAATAGTACTACGAAGCGTTATATATATATATATATTACTTACGCTATACTATGCACTAAGTATAAGTGTATTAGGTAATATTATATCGAATGTAGCTTATATATATGTAATATATATACTTATGCTGTACTATGCACTAAGTATAAGCGTATTAGGTAATATTATATCGAATATGGCTTATATATATGTAATATATATACTTACGCTGTACTATGCACTAAGTATAAGCGTATTAGGTAATATTATATCGAATATACTATATCTACATATATATACTATACACTTAGTATATATATAGTATACACTATACACTTAGTGTATATATATATGTGTGTGTGTGTGTGTGTGTGTGTGTATCTATATCTATATATATATATATATATATAATATATATACTTACGCTGTACTATGCACTAAGTATAAGCGTATTAGGTAATATTATATCGAATATGGCTTATATATATGTATAATATATATACTTACGCTGTACTATGCACTAAGTATAAGCGTATTAGGTAATATTATATCGAATATGGCTTATATATATGTAATATATATAGTTACGCTGTACTATGCACTAAGTATAAGCGTATTAGGTAATATTATATCGAATATACTATATCTACATATATATACTATACACTTAGTATATATATAGTATACACTATACACTTAGTGTGTATATATATATATATATATATATATATATATACACACACACACACACACTATACACTTAGTATATGCACTTAGTTTAAAATGAATTAAAATCCTAAATTTATTTTTAAATTAAACTTAAAATAATTTATTTTTGCTTTATATATGGCGACCAACTTTGGTCGCCATTTTGGTCAAACGGTCAAAAAATAGCGACCAAGTTTGGTCGCTATGTTGGTCAAATTAGTCAATACCTATTTGCTACCAAGAATAGCGACCAAAGTTGGTCTCTATGTTTTAATCCAGAGTCAAAATCGGGTTGCCCTACCAAAATGTTATTTTCTTACCAAAAAATTTCCCAAAGTCTCTCTCCACATATTCCCTTACACAAATCAATCCCCCCACCCCTTGCCACTGTCGCCGCTACCAGTGTCGCCGGAGCCGCCGCTACCACTGTCGCCGGAGCTGCTGTCTCCCGCCCCTTTCCACCACTGTTTTAATCCTCCTTTTAATCTACCAAGGTTAGTAATCTACCTTCTTAGCTTTTTAATTTTTAATTTTTGCTATATAATTTTATGTAATTTTTCAGAATTTTTGTTTATTTAGTATTAGGTTTTTTGGTTTGAACTACATTAGATTTATGAAATTAAGGTAGAAATTATGATCTTTTAGTTCTTGTATTAATTTATATTGAGTTAAATTGTGAAAAGAAACAATTCATACATTAGCAATACCTAAATAAGAGTACTTGTAAATACATTGTCCTAAATAAGAATACATTATATCTAAATTAATTTGTTCTTGCTTTATTTATATAGATGGAACATCGTACTTGGATGTACAATAGAAATTATCCTAATCGGCGGGGATTGCGGGAGGATTTTGTAGAAGGGGTTGATGAATTTATTAGACACGCAATGTCACTTCCGCCATACATAAATGAAGGAGTAATTAGGTGCCCTTGTGTTAGGTGCGACTGTATGAAGTTTGAAAAACCGGAGGAAGTTAAGGTTCATCTTTATAGTAAGGGGTTTATAGCGAATTACTTTGTGTGGACTTGTCATGGAGAGATCGATGGTAGCCATGGGATATTTCATAACATGGTTGTGGGTGAAAGTAGTAGGTCGGTGGAGAATACAAATCGTGATTCTAGAATTCATGATATGGTTGCGGATGCTTTTGGGATGCACTTTGGGTTTGAGTCCAACGAAAATGTTGAACAAACTCCTAATGATGACGCAAAACGTTTTTATGAAGCTTTAGAGGAAGCTTGTCGTCCACTACGTAACGAAAGTTTGTACTCTGAGTTGTCTGTTGCAGTTAGATTACTAAGTATGAAATATGATTGGAATATTTCTCAACGAGCCATGGACTCCTTCATTGACCTTATGCGTGAACTAGTTGGCCCTGATATCGAATTACCTGGTGATTTCTACAAGGCAAAGAGATTAGTTTCTAAGTTAGGACTTTCGTCATTGAGAATTGATTGTTGTGAAGATGGTTGCATGTTATATTATATAGATGATGCAGGTTTGGACAGTTGTAAATTTTGCGGAAAGCCTCGTTTCAAGAGGCTTTCCAGTGGGAATATGGTCGCTATCAAGTCGATGCATTATTTACCTCTTATACCTAGGTTAAAGAGGTTATATGCGTCGATGAGTTCTGCTCCTCATATGAGATGACACTTTGAAAATAAAAGACCACCTGGTGTTATGTGTCATCCTTCAGATGGAGAAGCTTGGAAGCACTTTGATAGGACATATCCAGATTTTGCTAGTTAACCAAGGAATGTTCGATTAGGTCTGTGTGCGGATGGCTTCACGCCTTTTTCTGTATCTGCCACACCATATTCATGTTGGCCTGTCTTTCTTACACCTTATAATCTACCACCCGAGTTGTGCATGACTAGTCCATACATATTCTTAAATTGTATTATCCCCGGTCCACGTAATCCGAAAAGTTTGATTGATGTATATTTGCAACCTTTGATTGATGAGCTAAAACAATTGTGGTACGATGGTGTTGAAACATATGACATATCAACCAAGCAGAATTTCATTTTGCGTGCTAATTTAATGTGGACAATTAATGATTTTCCTGCGTATGGAATGTTGTCTGGGTGGATGACTGCTGGTAAGCTAGCTTGTCCTTACTGCATGGAAAATAGTAAAGCGTTCACTTTGAAATATGGCCGAAAGCAATCATGGTTTGATTGTCATCGTCAATTCTTGCCTCCTGATCATGAGTTTAGAAGGATGAAAAATTCATTTAAAAGGAATAAATTCGAATGTGATTTCCCACCTCTGATACTTTCAGGTGAGGAAATTTGGGAGAGGGTCCAGAACTTCAGTAAAGTTACTGAAGTTCCACCTTATAAATTCCCCGGATACGGTGTTACTCATAATTGGACGAAACAGAGTATATTTTGGGAGTTGCTGTATTGGAAGGATAATCTTCTCCGTCACAACCTTGATGTCATGCATATTGAGAAGAACTATTTTGACAATTTGTTCAACACAGTGATGGATGTTAAAGGTAAGACAAAGGATAATGCGAAGGCTAGAATGGACTTACAAGAATATTGCAGGCGGCCTGAACTACACTTGCAGACAGCAAACAATGGTAAGGTGTTCAAGCCCAAAGC